GAAAGCAAGAACAGACGAGGAGAAGCAAAAACAAGATAATAATGGTGGCACATCAACTTTGATGTGAAACTAAACTTATTAGTTAAGGAAAGTCTGGATGCCAAATTCTGTTTTGTTAATCACCATTGAGTTTCTTAAGTGGGGGATTGTTTAAGAGCATCGAAATGCTTGATTCTCTTCTAGATTTGATCAAACTCACTGTCTGTGTGTGTGTGTGTGTGTCTGTCTGTGTGTGTGTGTGTGTGTGTGTGTGTGTGTGTGTGTCTGTCTGTGTGTGTGTGCGTGCACTCACACAGCATGAGGCTCCTTAAACTTGCCGACCTGTTGGATATGGTACATAAGGTCTCCTCCATTAATATACTCCATGACAAAATACAATCGGTCCTAGGAGCAATAAAGAAGAAGCAGGAGACCAGAAGAGAGGAATAAATTATTCAGAATCACAGTTTACTGACAGGCTGATAATTACACAGTTCAAATTTACACAGTAAACAGACCAAAGCAAACAAGCCATGGAAGGCACTCTGACAACATTATAAAAGATAAGAAGCTGGTCTTGCTTCAAGCTGTCTCACCATGGTTTGGAAGCATGAGTGCAGCTGAGTGAGGAAAGGTGGTTTTCCTGACAGAGCGAGGACTCTCTTCTCCACCATGGTGCACTCCACGTCATCGTCTTGGATCACCACGTCTTTTTTCAGGATTTTGATGGCGTACAACTCATCTGTGCCTTTCCTCTCAGCCAGCATCACCTTTGAGGGAGTCAACCAAAGGAAATCAGTGAGTTTTAAAGAGATTTCATTCATGCCATGTTTACATCAGAAACATCACATTTCTACTGACGCGTGCCCCACCTTGCCGAAGCTGCCCTTGCCCAGAACCATGATGAAGTTGAAATCTGAGAGCTTGACGCGGTCCTGATTGCCGTTGCTGTCGTACTTGCACACCGAGGAGGAAGAAGAGGAGTCAGTGGGCTTCCCTGGACCCACTCTCGCTCTCTAGAGAGAGAATTAAAATGGTGAAGGGGGAAGAAGTAGTTTATTAGAGAACAAGAAATAGGCAAGAGCACAAATTAAACCAGTCGTCATTCTCGTCGATTTCTGTGAGTCTTACCTCAAACTTTTGCCGTAGCTCCTCATTACCGTCCTCTCCATCTGGCTGGACAGGAACATTAAAGTATTCTCCTTCCTCCTGGGACAGCATCTTAAACCTAAACCCCAGAATGAAAGCAGAGCATTGCCAGACAAAATCCAGGATTATCACCAGACTATGACAACAAAGCCTCCTAAACATTCACACCCCTGTACGTCCTGCCTGTATCATTCCTAGTTACACCTGTGTAATTTTCTCACCATCCATCTATCCCTTGTTTCTGTAGCTCTGAGATCCCAAAGGACAGTGATCCCATGAAGTCATTCCTGCTGGTCAAATCCCAGTCCCAGACCTCTACTGACAGACGGCGGTCCTTGTCAGATTCTTTGAGGTTGCTAAAAGGAAAAAAATGGAGGACAGTGAAACGGAAGATAAAGTGCGTTCCTAATATAGCTAAAAATGAAAACCTGAGATCACAGTCCTCTCATCTCTCTCTGTACAAACTTAAAAACAATGCAGCAAATCACAGTTTTTCATACCTTTCCTACCCGAGAATAGCTCGAAAAACAACGAGCACAAACAGGAGGAGGAGAGAGGACTGGGTCACTTGCACGAGCTCCAGTTAGGTTTGCGCATATGCGACTCAAAATGAGGCCAAGTGAGTAACTTTAATCAAAAGGCAAGTTATGTTCAACAAAAAGGTGTCTCACAAAGTGAAGGTCTCGTTCCACGTGGGGTTGAGGGAGCATTTGATGGTCTTTGTCTTCTGCTTGCTCTCACTCTTGGGATCGGGAATCAGCTTGAGCTTGACGTAGGGGTCTGACAGGCCGTTGGGATCCATGGGCACCAGGTTCTTAGCCTCTTTGACTGTGGGGGGGGTTGAGGACATAAATACAAATAAGTGCCAGAAGATCCCAGGATAAAACACACTTTTAGACTGTCCGCAATTTGTCCTTTCCCAAAGTGTTAGCGCAACCCATCCATGTCTAAAGCTTCAGCCTGCCCTAAATAACTCTGGCCACATTAGACAACACTTAACAACAGTTTAGTTTCTGTTCCATAATCAATCCACAGCTGTCTGAAAGGGAGCGCTGGCACGTGGGTGCATGTCCCAGTGGCAATGTGGGTCAATCGTTGGATCATTGATCAACTAATGGACTTTCCGGTTTTAGTCTTAGGCTGGCAGAGAGCTTTGAGATGCACTCAGTGCGCTCGTGTGTGTGGGAGCACTCACTGGTGACGGTGAGAGTGTCGTCAGTGATCTGCGCAGAGATGTGGATGCGTCCTCGCCTTTCCGTGTGATCCGTCCCGCACAGGCTCGGGACGTTGGCGACACATCGCTTGTGGATGTTCATCATACAGTCTGAACAGAGAGAGAGAGACAGGAAAATTGTGCAGGTTGGTTATGAATCACAATCATCACAGTCTGTCTAACATGTGACAGTCTGTGCCCTAAACCCCCCCAAAGTAATTACCGGAAGGCTTTCAGTGCCTTATTGCCAGATTAAAAGAGATTTAGGGCTGCACCCTAACAGACACAGGGGGCTTAAAAAATTAATCAAAAAAAACAAAGAGGTAAATTTGGAGACAGTTAGATAATAAGTAAAAACATGCTGGGTACTTAAAGTAATGAAAACTATTGAACTCTCAGATCCCGGACACCAGACCAAATATCACCCATACTCGTTAGGTCAGAGCAACCAGAAATGTGACCTCACCCACCCCCAAAGCCATCCTATAGTCCCTGACGTATGTAAATAAAAACAGATCCATCCATCAAATCCATAAATCCATACTTTATTCATAGTAGAACACAGAAAAACATCAAATGTACCATTTTAAGAAAAATATACTGGCTCATTATGAATTTGATAGGAGCAGCACTTCTCAATACAGGGGCATGTCTACCACTGTAGCAACAGCAAGTCTGCAAACATCTGAGATCAGAGGATTCTCCAAATCCTTTCAGTTGGTGAACTGGACTGCAGGGAGGCAAGTTTAGCACCTGGGCTCCTCTGCTATGGAGCTCTGTAATATGAGGTTTAGCATTGTCTTGGTGAAATATGCAGGGCCTCACCTGTAGAAGATGTCATCTGATGTTGCCTTTCTAGTTGTGCAAGCTGCCAAATTCCATAAACAGTAATGCACTCCAATACAATTAGAGATGCAGGCTTTTTGAACTGAGCACTGATGACAAGCCGGATGGTCTGCAGGATGTGGCGTCCACGTTTTCCAAAATAAATTTCAGACTTCGATTCGTCTGACCACAGAACAGTTTTCCACTTTCCTCAGTCCATTTTAAATGAACCTTGGCCCAGAGAAAATGCCTGAGGGCCGAAGAGCACCAACACTAAAGCTATGTGTTGTATATACAGGTTGGTCAGAACAGTTAAAAAATTTGTCTTCGGTAATAAAAGGCACAGCTAAACATTAAATCTGGACAGTGAGAGTAGAACACAGTTTAAGCAAAACTCATTATTTTACAGACTAGTAAGTGGGAAACAATTTGATCAATGCAAGAACACAGACAAGTCTAATAACCCATGGTCGTTTCTCAGTACGTCCACTAGATGGCAGACATTTCTGATGTACCACATTTTGCTCCACTCTGTTGAATCAGTGGGTGGTGTTGAGGTTCTGAAGGTGGAGAGTGAGAAGTTAATCTCTTGCTCTCTGTAGGTTTTCTTTTCCAGTAACAATAATGTTTCTGTGACCGTGGATTTCAATGTATTATCTCCAACAGGCACTAAACACACCCATGAGAACCATTAATCCATTAACGAGTGTAAACCTTGAAGACTACTTGCGCTTGTCTGCCAACACTTACAGAAATAAGTCTCATCTTCTGTATGATAATTATACATTTACAATTAATGAACAACTCGAGTGTTTCTATGGATTAATAAATAACCAAACCCACTTGTAAATTATGTCAAATAAGGTACTCTAGTATTTTCATGATGCAAAGTCAAAGCACAATGAGGAAACATCTGCCCACTAAATAATGCTGGCCTGAGTATAGCATTGCAGAGAGGTAACCTACTTCCTCTTCGTGCCAACACAAACAGTTTGTGACACAACTAAAGAAATGGAGGGGGGAAAATATTATGAGCAGCTTGATTATTGTGAAGTATTCATGCAAACTGCAGTCAGTGTTCAGCAGTGGAAGCTTTAACTTTAGCTGGAGCTGTAGCAATATGTGTGTCGTGAGTGAAGCTTCTGTAGTAGTAAAACTGATCAGGACAGGAAAAGAACTGATAAATCTGATATCAGATCAGATATAATCTAACGAACATCAGTTTCAGCATAAACTTTTATTGTCAAATGAAAAGCTTCTAGATGACAGAAATGTTGATCTTTGCCCGAGTATCCTGTGCTGCACTCTATGCTGCAACAGCATTAGTTTTTTCGCCCGTGCTCATCTACATTGTGAAAAACTGAACACACTGAATTTGCCTTTTTTTTTTTTTTTACCACAGAAGTGAAGAAATCTCAAAAACCTGAAACTTGTGGCCAATTCCTCAAGTCTTCCTCTTTCTTTCTTTTTTTTTTACACCATCTCGTAAATGTGAGAAACAACCAGATTTCATTTTTTAAACGTAGTCTACTTCCATACAAGTATCGAATCGCCCAATCACATGGCAGTAAATCAGTGCTCTTAGGCATGCAGACATGGTCTACACGGTCTGCTTAAGTTCAAGCCAAAAATGAGGAAGAAACAAAATTTAAATGTTTCTCAATGAGGCAGGGTTGTTGGTGCAAAACTGACTGGTGTGAGTGTTTTAGAAACTGCTGATATGCTGGGATTTTCCCACATAGTCAAAAAAATGAGAAAAAATATCCAGTAAGCGGAAGTTGTCTGGGTGAAAATGCCTTGTTGAGCTCTGAGAGAATGGCCAGACTGCTTTGAGCTGAGAGGAAGGCAACAGTTACTCAAATCCCCACTCGTTACATTCAAGGTATACAGAAGAGCATCTCTGCTGAAGAGCCTCACATTGAAGCAGATTGGCTGCAGCAGCAGAAGACCACACCAGAGGACATTTATGAGTTAAGTACAGAAAACCACGGCTATAGCTAACACGGGTTCACCAAAATAAGACAAGAGAAAATCAGAAAATAAACGTTGTCTGGTCAGATGAGTCCTGATTTCTGCTGCGTTATTCAGATGCTCGGTAGATGAGCATCAATACTCTCATGTCATTATTGACCAGTATCTCTGAGAAATGTTTCCAGCACCTGTGCCACAAAGAATTAAGGCACCTATAAAGGGAAATGGGGGTCCATCTCAGTACTAGCAAGGTTTAAAAAGAGCGTAAAATGCAAGCTTCTAAAGCACAAGGCTTCCTTTCTGAAACACAGGCAGATATTCGTGTACTTACGGTCACATTTCATTCCCTGGTGTATCAGCCCGTACAGGAGGGAGCCACAGTGGTCACAGAAGGTGGGGCTTGAGTAAGTGTGGACCCTAAACTTGTGTTTACTACGAGGATCCTGTAAAGAGGAGACAGAAGATGCTTGAGTACAATTATATTCAAGTAACTCAGACTGTTTCGGGTTGTTAAAAGATTTAAAGCTGCAAGGTTAGGTGTTCTCAGTTGTCCTGTTAGTCGCCATTTAAAGCCTGGACTCAGCTAAATTACAAGAAAAGGGGTTCTCAATTTCCTCTAACAGGTTCTTAATCATAATGTGTTTAATTTGCAAACCCACATGGATGCAAAAATAAAGTATATGGACAGCAGAACATTTCAGTCAGTGACTGATGATGAATCATTTTAAACCATGCGATATATAACGGCGCAAAAAAAAATCATATGATCTCCACTCCCCATGGCAGGGATTAGCCATAAGTAGATGACTTACAGTACTGATTTTCTGATTTTCTCCAGAGTAAAGCCTTTAAATGTTTAAATATTTTACGGGAAAACAAAAGAACTAATGTGAGCATGAGAGACCAAGAGATAGAGATGGAAAACTGAGTGAATTTAGAGGATGCACAAAAATAGGTAACAACAGCACTGGTGATATAACAAAAACAAAGAGCAGAGTTTGAGATTAATAAACATCAGTGACATGAATTTAAAATTAATTCAAACCCACAAATGGTGCGTGTGTGCGTGCGTGAGTGAAAGAGAGTGAGATATTGGGTCATTAACCTGATGCAGCCAGCCAGCACATTCTCCTATACTGACGTGTCTGAATGTGATTTGTGGCTGACATGTCAGCAGGAGTAAGGCTAGGAGGTTAGGGCTGTGTGTGTGTGTGTGTGTGTGTGTGTGTGTGTGTGTGTGTGTGTGTGTGTGTGTGTGTAAAGATGCAGGTTAAATATTTTTTAATGCATGAAGCGGTTCTGCTGTTGAATAATGGTTATTAATAAAATGAGCATGGTCAGCACTGGGTTTTGTTTTGCTAATGTGCTGTTTATTGAACACACACACACTCACACACACACACACACACACACACACACACACACACACACACACACACCTGTGCACGAACAGAGGTGTGTGTGTCTGACCTTTGCTTTCAGGTCTGACTAAAAATAAGGAGTAAAGGATCGAATAATCAAGCTGTGTAGATGTTTTATTCGTGCACAAGTGTGGGTGTTTACTTTCTTTATACTTACATCGGAGGCAGGTCCTTTGTCGGCCCCCGGACAGGAGAAGGTGACAAATTCATGACAGCGCTTATGGACCACAAAACAGCACACTGGGGAGAGGGAAAAAAAGTGAAAATCAGCTCGGGCTTCTTTGCGGTGCCAAATAAGGCGACACAATAACAACACTGAGATAAATCAATATGTCAATTATGTGGCATTAGTCACTGCAAAAAAAGCTCCTCGTATTTCAGCAGTTCACATGCATTTCTTTCTTGCTTCCAACATCTATAGTTAGTCTTTGCTTCAGTTTAGATGATTTTAAATTTAACCACAGCATGGTGGGAAGTCTAATAATCACGCCCAGTAACATTAAAGCTGCCACAGGAAACTTCCCATGTTAAAAGCTTCAAATGGCAGCAGGCAGTATAGCTGGTGATTTGACTGCTTGTTCCTGCTTGCTGCTTGAAATTATTCAGTGTAGCGACTGAAATAAACAGTTCATACTTGCATCCTTATATAGCACATGGCAGCTAGTAGGAAATAAATCCTGTTAGAGGGAAACTAGAAAGACAAAAAGTGCTTAAGATCTTCTGATCTTCACTCATTGCCGGGTAACGCAATACAAGAATTTGTGTCTTATTTAAAGATAATCATAGAACAAAATGTGAATTTTTATAACAAAGCTGGTTATTTTCTCAGTCATCAGAAAGTACCCATCACAAACTTATAGTCAAACAAACAGTCCAACCCGACGACGTTTAGTTCACCATCTGAATCTTGTTGGCGGGAAAAGCAGAAATACTTTGTTACTGTACAGCATGCTTATTTAAATGAACACCCCAACATTATACTATTTAAGACTGTGGCTCAGTAGAACACCCTATTAGTCTTATATAGACCAAAAAAAAGAGAGCTATCAATTAACATCCAGAAGCTGGTTGAGTTGGGAACAAATGACGAGGAACACAGACAAAAATGTCATTTTAAACATCGGTTTACAAGAACAAATCTCTCCTTCAGTTTATGTTATAAAGTTATGGATAAGGATGTCACCAGAACTGGGACTGATGGTACCTTTAGATTTCAAAACACTGAAAGCATTTTAAAATTAAAGCTGGTATATGCACCGAGGATTGTCCACAAAATCTGCACTAACTTATAATAGAAATTACCATCAGATTAAATATTCACTTGCAGCAGAACTGGTACCAACAGTACTGTCATCACCTCAGCCAGCTGACACACAAACGTCACACAGCCCCTCCCCTCACTAGCAGCTGAACTGCTGTTGAAGCATCTTCAGACATCCCGATCTGTGAGGTCAAGAAAGCTCAAGTATTAAACAGCTATTAATATTAACTGCTAGTATTAATAGCTGCATTAGCCGTCTGTTATCATTTTGTTACGGATAACACAATTATTTGTGTCCAAAGTGAGTTACATTTCTCTTAAAGTACCAGACTGAAGCAACAAAAAGTCTACCAGCAGCTAGACAGAAACGGTGGCAGCCTACCTTAATAAATCCATCTGATCAGCAACGAAATATGGGGTCAAGTTACCAGAAGCACAGGAAATAAACAGGGCTGAAAGTCAATACATTTAATCCAACCAATATTGTTTTATCTTTATTTATCCTTTGTCATTCTTTCCATGTGTTATTGTATCCGTAAAATGGTATTGAGTTTGAAATTCTAGCATTGTGACGACCTTCTTGCTCCTCTTGGGGGTTGGAGTGGGATGGGAATTTTTGTTGGGTAGATTTGGAAGTGGAAGTGAGCAATTTTGAGGTATCTGCAGTTTATCTGAATATTTACTTTTCTGACCGCTTTTGACTTTAACACAAATATCTCTGCTTTCTACTACTTGGATTTTCAAAATAAGATCCTTCATTTATAACGTGTTTGTGGGAAGTTGTTTCATGTCACTGCACATCTTCCCTAAAGCAGGCCAATTTGAACCTAAAGATAAGGAATAATAGCACAATGTGCTTATTGCTGATGTAAAAGAAGTCAAGTTGAGGAGGCAAAAAAAACAAAAACAACCCAGAGTAAAGAAGCTAAAGTTAAAGGACGAGCTAGAAAAAAATATCCCTGAAAGAGCTGCTTTTCATTTTTATACTTTAAGTTCGTTTCAGCACCTGTGCTTTTTCACTTTTATTCAGTTAAAGAAGTTCAGTCAGTACTTAAAACTCTATCAATATCTTTTAAAATAACTATTAGTGTATCTACTCGAGAGAAAAATGTCTGCCAATTTACCAACTCTGCAGCGCTGGGAATATCTACATTTGCTCTGGACCTAGCTGCTCAAATTTGTTTCGTTTTGTTTTTTCAGTTTGAATTTAGTTATTTGCTTATTAAACAAACTATTCTCAAGTTAATTTTTGTGTTCTATATTTGGTATCCCTGTTGGCACAATATCGCCACAAATATGAGTGACAGCGAGTCAACACACGCTCATATCCATTCAGTTCAGTTCTATGTTGTTTCGTTGACTTCGTCATTTGCCAGCAGAAGCTAGCAGCAGTGCAAATGAAACAGAAGAGGCAGCAGAGGGAGGTATTGCACGTTGCCACATCAGTAGCTATTGTTAGTCTACTAGTGCTCAAAGTCATTCTTAAGATTTCTCTCCGTTTCTGACGCTCACTCTCAAAATGTTCAGGGAGAGAAACACTACTTTGGACGTTGGTTAGGTTAAACGCTTGCTGTTGGGAAGCTTTTATTATACTTATTTTAACATAACATGTCGTCCTCCGCTCGATTCAATTTCATTTTATACGTCAACTTTATATACACGACGTGTTTTAGGAGGAAAAAGGAGAAAGAAAAACTTCTGTATCTGTATTTGAACGCAGCTATGACTTGAATTAAGCTAGTCCAAATAAAATGAAGAGTAACACTAGAACGCTTCAATTGCACACTAATACCAACAACTGGGTGTTCATATTAATCCATTCATCTCTAACATTTTTTTTTCATTTACAAAGAAAAGTTGTTTACATAAATCCTGATGTTGCCTTATGTATAAAAGAAAGATTCCCAGTCTCTTCCTCACAGTGGAGATTGCAGTTTGTTAATTATATATACTGTGGCAGATACCCACAGTTAAGGTATAGGTACAGGATTGCAACAGGGGGAAAAAAACTATATTGGTGCATCCCTAACAGAAACCCGACACTGTAAGTCTCCCTGGGTCTCACAAATTTCCATCTCCATGAACCAACACTGGGTAAGCTAGCTGCATGTTGCCTCTTTTTCAACATTATGTGCAAATTTAGAACACAGTGTTTGTTTAAAAGCACAAAAAACAAACACAACAAACATGCTGATAATTTGACTAAAAAAAAATAAAAGCAGATTCTACATTGTTATTTATAGTAATGATGAACGCAAACCAATCGCCATCAACCAAAACTGAGGAGCAAGGCTTGGGGAGCAGATCGCTAATTCAAGTCCACTTTGAAGCAAGAAAAAAAGAGAAGTCTTATCTTACATTTATCTAATTTACTTGATAGTTTCTGGGTTGTGCTAGGACAGAAATAGCAATCAACAGGTGTCAAGTGGCAAACCACACACACACACACACACACACACACACACACACAGGGTGTAGGCCTGTGTGGACCAGAAGGTTTTTAATCTGTTTTTGAATGCCAGCACAGATCTAATTAATCTCAGGTCAGTAGGTTTTTTAATCAACCACTGATTCAAAAAAGATTTAAGAAAAAAAAACTAAAGCCAAACTAAAGCTCAGAAAAAGAAACATCCACGTTTTTGTCTCATTCTCAGACGCAAGTAAAGAGCAATCACTTTCCACGGATGAAGTAAACAACCGACAGAGAGAGTGGAACAGTTTAGTCTCATCATCAGCACGGTATTTTAAACAAAAACAAAAAATCTTGCACCACTTCCACTTTGAAATGGCTCACAGTGTTATCTAAAAACTGAAATCTGGCATGACAATGGCTCTAACGATCATGACCATGAAAATATTACCTCACTGCAACAAGAGCCAGTTCCTAAAACAGACACACACACACAGACACACAAATGCAGGGTGACATTACGCTGTGCTTTAATCTTAATTATTCACCTTCTCATTACATTTGAATGAGGCACAGCGGCAACTGGAGGCACTTTCCACGGGTTTCTAGCAGTTAAGCAACAGAGTGCTCAAGGCCGTGTGTCCGTGTGAGCGTTTCATTAGAGCAGGAGTGAGGCTGGGCCACATCAGTCCGATTTTAAATCAAACAGACACCACAGACACAACAGTAATAGGGATGGGATGAAGACGGCCCTTCTGTTGCCCTGCACAATGCAAATGAGACCACGAGAGGGGAAAAAATAGAAGGCGGCGAGACAGGATAGACAAAAAAGAAAAAGAAAAACGAGTGAAGAAGCGGAAGATGTGGGGTTGCACGTCTGTGTGGACCAATTTGAGTTTTAGATCTCTGGAGTGAGGACACTTTTTCGGAAACCTAGCCCGCTCTGATCGAACAGCTGTTTGACAGTTTAGAGGTCGTTTCAGGGTCCGCGTTAAAATTAGTTTTACCTCTGGGGTTTGATAGCCGGGGTTAGGCATTCGGCTGTGACAGTTGGGGTTAGAGTAAAGGGGTCGGGGAATGTGTTATGCCAACGAGGGTCCTCGCAACGATAGGAGCACAAATGTGTGCGTGTGGGCAGGAAGGGATGGGGGCACAGCTGGGTTTGAGGCAATGTGAGGGGGTGGAAATTCATTTGTGTGTTTGCAGCATGTCAGAAAGACAGAAACAGAGAACTGGAGCGGCAGAAAACAGCGAAGAATGCAGCTGCACTTTAGAGGCTTTTGTTCATAAATCTGCACTGTCACTCACACACATCTGTACGCACACACACAAAAAGGTACACACTACTGAAAGACAGGCTTAGTGACCTGGCGAAGGGGTCTTTGCTCTGTTGCTTAGCAACCAGGCTGAGCCCTAGAGTCGAGTCTACACACGCCGCCCAATTTTATCTGACTGACGGCATCGGCAGCGAACCAGAGTCGATCCAAAAAAGATTCCTGCGAAGGACTGCCAGTTTCTCATCAACAGGAGGAGCGCCGGGAAATTCCTCCATCTTGGATGATTACCAGT